CGAAACAAGAAACACACTTAATTCAAAAAGAAACTCATAGGCTGAAAGTTAAAGGATGGAAAACAATACTCCATGCAACAGGAACACCAAAAAAAGCAGGAGTAGCTATCCTCTTTGCAGATCAAGTGAATTTCAAACCAACACTGATTAAGAGAGACAAACAAGGACACTACATCCTTCTAAAGGGAACAATCCAACAGGAAGAGTCATATATGTAGCAAATGCTAGTGCATCCAACTATATAAAACAAATACGGACATGAAAAATCATATAAGCACTAATACAATAGTAGTAGGGGACCTCAACTCCCACTGTCACAAATAGATAGATCAACTAGACAAAAAATACCCAACGAAATACTAGAACTCAATCAAACTCTTGAACAAATAAACTTAACAGATGTTTACAGAGTGTTGCACCCCACAAAATCAGAATACACATTCTTTTCAGCTGCACACAGGTTGTTCTCCAAAATAGACCACATACCCTCTCACAGAACATGTTTAAGTAACTGCAAAGGAATTGACGTTATCCCCTGTATATTATCAGACCATAGTGTGATGAAGTTGGAGATCAACAGCAAAAGAAACCACAAAAATTTCATAAGCACAAGGAAATTGAATGACACACTTCTGAAAACCAAATGGGTCACAGAGGAAATTAAAGAAGAAATCAGACAGTTCCTTCAATTAAATGCCAATGACAAGACAACATATCAGAATCTATGAGACACAATGAAAGCCTTAAGAAGGAAATTCATAGCACTGAATACTCATATTAGGAAAACAGAGCAAGCTCAATTAAACAACCTGATGCTGAACCTCACTCAAGCTTCTAGAAAAGAAAAGCAGGACAAACCCAAAACTCATACAAGGGAGGAAATTATAAAAATCAGAGTAGAAATCAATGCAATGGAAACTAAGAGAAGAATATGAAAAAAATCAATGAAGCCAAGAGTTGGTTCTTTGAAAGAATAAACAAAATTGACAAACCCTGAGTCAACCTTATCAGAAAAAGCAAAGAAAAGGCCCCAATCCATGCAATTCAGAATGAAAAGGATGAAATTACAATGGACTCAGCAGAAATCCAGAGATCATCAATACCTACTACACCAGGAAGATAGAAAACACAGAAATGTACAGATTCCTAGATACCTAAAAAAGCCCGGGTCCTGATGGCTTCACTGCTGAATTCTACAAGACATTTAGAGAGGAACTACTGCCACTACTGTTTAAACTCTTCAGTGAAATTGAAAGGGAAGCAATACTCCCCAATTCATTCCTAGAAGCAAGCATCACCTTGATCCCCAAAGTAGAGAAAGACCCAACTGAAAAAGACAACTACAGGCTAATCTCACTAATGAACAAAAATCCTTAATAAGATAATGGCAAACAGAATGCAGAAGATCATCAAGAAGATCATACACCCTGATGAAGTGGAATTCATCCCAGGGAAGCAGGGATGGTTCAACACATGCAAATCAATCAATGTAATACACTATATCAATAGAGCCAAGGACAAAAACCATATGATCATCTCAACAGATGCAGAAAAAGCATTTGTCAAAATCCAACATGCATTTATGATAAAAACCCTACAAAAAATTGGAATTGATGGTCTCTACCTCAATCTGATAAAAATCATCTATGAAAAACCACAGCCAATCTCATGCTGAATGGTCCAAAACTGAAATCCTTCACACTAAAATCAGGAAAAAGACAAGGACTACTGTTCAATATAGTTTTGGAAACATTAGTCATGGCAATTGGACAAGAGAAAGAAATAAAATAAAGATAGGAAATGAAGAAGACAAATTGTCATTATTTGCAGATGACATGATACTCTATGTAGAAGACCCCAAGAACTTCACCAAAAGTCTTCTAGACTTAATAACCAAATTCAGTCAAGTAGCTGGATACCAGCTCAATACACAAAAATCAGTAACTTTCCTCTACACGAACAACAGACTCACTGAGACAGAAATAGGGCAAATAATTCCTGTCACAATAGCATCCAAAAAAACTGAAATACCTAGGAATCAACCTAACAAAAGAAATCAAAGACCTCTTCTATGAAAACTATAGCACTCAGAAAAGAGAGATTGAAGATGATATCAGAAAATGGAAAGTCATCCCCTGCTCCTGGGTAGGCAGGATCAACACAGTGAAAATGGCCATACTTCTAAAACTGCTATATAGATTCAATGCAATCCCAATTGAAATATCAGCAGCATACTTCATGGACCTTGAGAAAACAATCCAAAAACTCATTTGGAACAAGAAGAGGCCTAGAATAGCAAGAGCAACTCTAGGCAACAGAGACATGGCAGGGTTATCACAACTCTCAACTTGAAACTATACTACAAAGCAACTGTGATAAAAACAGCATGATACTGGCAAGGAAACAGACCTGAGGACCAATGGAACAGATTAGAAGATGCAGAAACAACTCCAGACACACTCAGCCATGTCATCTTCGACAAAGGTGCCAAGCACCCTCACTAAAGGAAAGATAGCCTCCTTAATAAATAGTGCTGGAAAAATTGGATTTCAACTTGCCAAAGATTAAAACTAGACCTCCATCTCTCACCATGCACTAAACTAAAATCAAAATGGATTGAAGATCTAAATATTAAAACAGAAATGCTAAACAAGCTGCAATAGAGGTTAGGTAGAACTCTTGAAGACATTGGTGCAAGAAAAGATTTTATGAACAAAACCTCAGTTGCATGTGAACTAGCACGAACAATCAACAAGTGGGATCTCTTCTTACTAAAAAGCTTCTGCACAGCAAGAGAAACCACCAACAGAGTGAAGAGACAACCTACAATGTGGGGAAAAAATTTCATCTGCTGTTCCTCAGACAAAGGTCTACTATCTAGAATCTATAAAGAACTTAAAAAAATCAGACTTTCCAAATTTAAAGACCCAGTCCAAAAACAAGCATCTGAAATGAACAGACATTTCTCACACAAAGAAGTAGAAATACCAAATAAACATGAAAACATGTTCAACATCACTGGTCATTCAAGAGATGCAAATGAAAACAACGCTGAGATTCCACCTTACCTCAGAAAGAATGGCTGCTATCATGAAATCAACCAGTAACAAATGCTGGCGGGGCTGTGGGGAAAGAGGAACCCTGCTCC